CATATACGAGAGTTTTGAAGAGTATATAACCGATGGTGTCCCAACAACTAAAAAGGTAACTAAATGATAACGATTCTCCCAACAATTTAAGCGAATCTAGTATGTACCTAGGACTTTCACAGAGCAAGCCATGGAAAGCAAAACTTAAAACTAAAATTGACACAGTTGATAGATTAGTGATACAGAGATGGAGCAAAACCCAAGAAAGCCTTCTGGCAAAAATGGCGGATTCAGATTCGTTTATAATATTATGAGCTTGTCTTTGCTCTTTTCCACACAATAACAACACCATAGAAATCAGATTAGGCCAACAAGTTCTCCATGGTTCCACGCTACACACATTACTGGGAACCTATGACCCTGCACAACTCAATTCTCACAACTCGTGAATCCGGTTTCCAATCCTACACAAAAGTTTCAGATATACCAAAAAAAAGACTGGTCTCACCTGCAGCTTGTTTACACATGTGTGTTTTGGTTTGGTTAGATCGTAGAAGTAGACATTCGAGTCTTCGCTCCCAGCAACTATAGTTTCAAATAACAAGAAACACAGAGCAAATGAATTGCAGTTTTCTAGAGACCTATGCATCCGCTATTACCTAAACGAAGGATTCAAATTCAACCTATGTATTCTCCTTTCTCTAGGGATAATAACGGGCAAAAAGATGCTTGGATCCTATGTATTCGCGGGGCTAATTTGTAGGAGCAACGCAATGTCAGGTAACCTTTTATCTGAAGCGCAACACTGCATCACCAACACATAGAAAAACAATCAACTCTAAGTAGACCTAGAAAATGGGAGAATATGCGAACGCCAAGCCTCATAAGTAGTCCAGGAAACAGGTTCTTCTCTCTTCACAAGTTTTTTTTTTGACTCCACTGCAAATTTACTTGTCTTTTGGTTGCTTTCCGCGGATTTATGTTCCTCATACAATCTGACGTCAGGGTAATTTACTGGTTGATGCATCAGTGGTCGATGGTTGCCTTCCCCAAGTCCTCTCTCTCATCAATTTGAAGCTGAGAGCTTTACTTCTAGCAGGGTAAGTAGTATTCCTCCATTGATACACCGCATTCGTAGTTTAGAGAGATGCTATTATCAAGAAAGAACATTAGCTTTCGTTCACCAAACCAGATCATTGGACTTATCAGGTGTTTTTTTTTATCATAGGATTTACGGAGTGTCAATCAGGTTTCAAGCCGCAGAGCTAGTTTTAGCTCAAGTTTGAGTGATGGTGATCATTCATATCGGCGTGGTGGTGTTGAACATGCTTATTCTTTTGTAGGAATGCATTGCATCTTTGATCAATGCAAATCTGCTGGTATTTTCTTTTTGCTGTTTGATATTTCATTCGACTCACTTTGTGATGTTTTTTCTAAGAAGGAGTCTTGTTTATCTGTTATGTAGTTACTGTTCTGAAGTTTGGCCACATGAGTTCTGATCTACTTGCATATGGAGCATCAGATGGATCCTTGACAGTTTGCAGTCTCTTGGAAGAGCCTTCTGTCCTCAAACAATTGACAGGACACTCAAAAGATGTCACAGGTTCGATTGACTGGTATTGTTTCTTTGGTCTTTTTCTGTTTCTTGGGTAGACTTGCCTAGTTGCCTGGTACCTTGAGTTGCTCTTGGACACTGAGAATATGATGCATGATACTTTTCATGGCTTGTGTGGGTGCATGTGTGACATTCATTTTAGATCCTATGTCTAATGTCAGTTCAAGAGTCTTGCTTTATTGTTTCTTAAAATACTTTCAGATTTTGACTTCTCGTCAAACAATCAATACATCGCGTCATCATCACTTGATAAGACAATACGAGTATGGGAGTTGTCAAGAGGTGTTTGTATTAGAGTTATATATGGAATCTCTGCACAGTTTTGTATCCGTTTTCACCCTGTAAGTTTGCCGTACTTCCTCATTTGTAAGTGAAGATCTTCTCATATAAATATTGAGTGAGGAATTTTGTGGTTTTCTCTTGCTTTTCCATTGAATATATATTATTTTCATGTTTTTAACAGGTTAATAACAATTTCCTCTTTGCTGGCAATGCAAACAAGGAAGTCACGGTAACTGCACTACACCTTGTGGCCAAGTATATTGGTGTATTGCTATTGTGTTTTCAAAATTTTTAATTTTTTAATGGCTAACATTCTTATCTGCTTGACAAAGTAGGTGTTCAATTTCAGCACTGGGAGAATTATTAAAAAATTGCTATTTGACGGTGAGGTGACAGCTATGGACCATGATCACACTGGCCAAATCATTTTCTGTGGGGATGGGCAGGTAAATTTTCTCGACACTGATGTTAAAATATATAAATACGTAGATGGTTTGTTATGGCTGGTTATGCCAACGGTTTTTTACTGATTACCTACGTTGTGGTCAAACRGAAATCAATTTTTGTATTGGTCGGTCTACTAGATGTGCTGACATGCCATCTGAACATCTCTTTAACAATGTAGTTAATAAAAATTGCAGGGAACTGTATATTCAGTGAGCATGGATTCCCATACAGGTTCACTATCCCGGTCTCATCGCCATCGTACTAATCACAAATCCGCTGTCACAACAGTGCAGTACCGAAGCTTCTCCCTCCTGGCATCAGGTCCTGTTCTGCTCACATGTACTCAAGATGGAAACATATGTTTCTTCAGGTTCAGCAACTCAACTTTTTTTTTMTTTTMAAATGCTCACTGTTTTCGTTATAGATCCTTAGAGTTGATTGGTTTGCTGTGTGTTGGTGATGCAGTGTTGCGCTTCAGATAAAAGGTTACCTGACATTGCGTTGCTCCTACAAATTAGCCCCACGAATACACAGGATCCAAGCATCTTTTTGCCCGTTATTATCCTTAGAGAAAGGAGAATACATAGGTTTGAATTTAAATCCTTCATTTACATGTAGTTTAGGTAATGGTGGATGCATAGGTCTCTAGAAAACTGCAATTCATTTGCTCTGTGTTTCTTGTT